ATTGGTTGGTTCGTTGATTGCTTGCTTGGTTTGTTGGTTGGTTGATTGATTGGTCTCTTGGCGACTTGGTTGGTTGGTTGGTTGGTTGGTTGGTTGGTTGGTTGGTTGGTTGGTTGGTTGGTTGGTTGATTGCTCGATTGCTTGTTTAGTTAGTTTGTTATTTGGTTGCTTGCTTGATTCGTGTGTTGGCTACTTGTTTGGTTGGTTGGTTGGGTTGGGTTGGTTGGGTTGGGTGGGTTGGGTTGGGTTGGGTTGGGTTGGGTTGGGTTGGGTTGGGTTGGGTTGGGTTGGGTTGGGTTGGGTTGGGTTGGGTTGGGTTGGGTTGGGTTGGGTTGGGTTGGGTTGGGTTGGGTTGGGTTGGGTTGGTTGGTTGGTTGGATGCTTGATTGGTTGGTTAGTTGATTGCTTGCTTGGTTAGTTGGTTGGTTGCTTGCTTCTTGCTTGCTTGGTCGCTTGGTCGCTGGCTTGCTTGTTTGATTGCTCTCTTGGTTGGTCGGTTGGGTGGATTGTCGATTGATTGCTTGCTTGCTTGCTTGGTTGATTGGTCTCTTGGATAGTTGGTTGGCTCATTGCTTGCTCGCTTGCTTGGTCTCGTGGTTGGTTGGTTGGTTGGTTGGTCGGTCGGTCGGTCGGTTGGCTGGCTGGTTGGTTGATTGCTTGTTTGGTCTCTTGGGTCGTTGGTTGGTCGCCCGGTTAGTTGGTTGGTTGGTCTCTTGGTTTGCTTTTAGGCATCGGACCGCCCAAGATGGCTTTGTTTTGCCTTTTGTTTTCCTTGGTACCGAGCCTCAAAAGAGACACACACCCAGCTTCAGCCATGTTTCATCCTAGTAGAACTCCGAGGGGAACGACGGGGACCCCCCAAAACCAACAAACCGGTCGGTTTTTTTTTGGTCTTACTTCCGAACCAAAAGGAAAACCGGGGACCCCAAACCAAACCAGGCACCCCTCGCCTTCGGTTTTCCTTTTGGCTTTCCCGCCAAGCCAAGTAAAGCCAACTCAAAAGCGCCGACAGGCCCACCTCTGCAGGTCCGAATCCTCGGATGGCGCGAGAAGGCGCACCCGCCCCGACTGGGGGAGGGTTTTGAGCAAGAAACCCGAAGGAAAGCCACAGCTTTTTTGGGGGTCCGCCCGAAAAAAAGGACACACCCAACTGCTTTTTCAACCATATGTCCAACACCCCAAGTGACTCGTGAAGGCAGTCCTTAGGTGCTGTAGGGACACTGCTCACAGGAGACCATGAAGCACTGAGGAGTACGCTTCTCACAACTGCGGTTTCTCCATTTCGGACACGCGGGTGTGCCTTAGAAGGGTTCCCCTTCAAGGAGACTGTAACGAACATGAAAGGGACCTGGCCCATCCCAAACATGCGCCCAACTTCCCAAGAACACAGAAGGGGTTTGGGGATCACATTGTACAAGAGCGTTCTCTTCGAGCTTTAGGCTTGGTTTTCTCGGTTGCTCTCTGCTCCCCTGCTAACAGTTTAACTTTTACTGGTTTAGTGGAAAACCCATTAGTTGGCAAAAAGTTAAAGTCCTAACTGCCAAGCAAAATGCACCAAAAATTTTCTGCTCAGAATTGAACATGCAGCAACGAGACACGGATCCCATTGCCTTGCGCTGAGGCTCGCTGCGATTCTCGCCAGGGTGGCGTTGGGTGTGCAGGTCCTGGCGAAGCGCTTCGAGCCGACTTCATTGCCCCCTTTTCCCCGGGAGTTGCCGGGCACCCACTTGGATTCGCAAAAAAAAAGCTCAGGTGATATCCCCAACAGCATGCAGTACTCTTGTTAGTGCTCGCACCACCCCGCAGCCCTCGCAGAACCTCGTGGAACCCTGGTGGAACCCTCGTGGAACCTTACCTCAGGGCCGCCCCGGACCACCCCGGAGCCTATCTGGGCTGAGACCCCAAAGATTTCAGATGTTGTGGAAAAACACGACTACACCGATTTTCCAAAACTGCTCGGAATTTTGCCCATGATTTTCAGGGATCCCCGCAGCATGCGATTCGCCGAAGGTGCGCAGAAACATCCCACTGACACGAGCGCTGCTGGTCAGAACCCGCTCGCTGGTTGCTGTAAAACACTCACGATTCCTCTGCTTTTCCCTTTGCTCTGCACTAGCCCAGTGCTTCGATTTCCCATCGGGAACCAAGGGCACAGTCCACAAAGACTAGGGTATTTGTTGGCTACCTGGAGTAACTGGGCACTGGCTGGTCACCATTCACTTTGGCAGACCCTGGCCCAGCGGTTCCATTTTCAGCTGGCACAATTTGCCCCCAGGAGCCGCCCCCAGCGCCTTCAGCCAATCAGTGGCGATGCCGAAGGGGTCCAGCATCAGCGTGCAAAGACTGCCTGACCTGAGGCTCCCACCCCAAAAAAAGACACTCCAAGCAAACCGACGATTCTGCGGACCGGGAATAATTTGCGTCTCTGGGCAAAAGCACCATAGATCCAGCTGTGACAAGGTCCGAGCGAGCAAGCGCACGCGGGAAGACAAGTGGGGAGACAAGTGGGCGAGTTAGCAAGCGCAAGCATGAAGAAGGTGGAGGCAAACGCAAGCAAGAGTCCCTGCCACGAGCGGAGAGGGGAGACACACCGTGACAAGGTCGGGGTCAGCAAGGGGAATGACCCCGAAAGCTAAGCTAAGCCAAAAGGTTCACCTTTTTGGGACCTTGACTGAACATGGGCAAGGGGAAGCCGGTCAAATGCCGGATTTGCACGGAGCTGTTGGGCGCAGGGACTCGCCTTTTGGGAAGACTTTGGTTGGGGACAGGTGGGAGATCCGCTTTTTGGGTTGATTCACGGCCACTCCGCAGGTCGAAGGCTAGTCCACTTTTTTCCTCGCGGCCGAAGCGCACTTCGGTGGCCAGCGCGCTTTGGAAGAGATTGCAGTCCGGCCAGCGGTAGGCCTCCAGGAAGGAACGGGGCAGGAAGTGCTGAAGGTAGGCGCCTTGGACCAAATCTGGGTTCTCGGCCTCCCTTTGATTGGCAGATTGGATTGAGGGTGATACAGGAATCAGGGAATCCATCCCCTAAACCAATCCAAGCGACGCGTTCTCCAAGTTACCCAAGGTTCCCTTTGATATTTGAAGAGGCTGGATTTGTCTCAACATGAGGAATTCGACACCCCAGCCAACTGAGCCCATTGGTTCCAAAGCTACGCCCTTTTCAAACCAGGGTGGTCCTTTTGCCGAACTTTGGGAGCGCCAATCATTCCCAAGGACAACCATGGGATGGGACCCGGTGCTTTTTTCCCTTTTTTGTTTTTGTTTTTTCTCCGGGGGAGTTCCTTTGGTTGGCCTGAATGGAAACCAAAGGCAACCAACCATATTTTGAGACATGTGGTATCCCGGCCACAAGTGGTATACCCAATGCCCACTCGGAATCACGAGTTCTCAAACTCGGAGTGGGGCTCCCTCTATACGGTTGGAGCCTTACCCCATTGAACAGCATTCCTGAGGATTTGACTTTGCCTTGGGCCCTGATGGGTGCCCAATGGGATGAGATCACGGTGGGAATCGGGAAGAGCTGTATCCAAACGTGGGAATGTGCGCTTGTAGCCTCAAGAGCATGGTCTGAAAGAGACCACTTCTGAACACCAGGTAGTAGCACTGAAATGGCCGAAATGGCCAATCGAGGTGCTGGGCCCCGTTCAAGTGAAGTCGCACTCGTCACATCGAGTCAGCTGTCTTTAGAACAACAAAACTTGGACCTAAAATGGCAAGCCTCAGTCGCACGAACCGCCCCCTGGACCCTGTCGGCCATGTTTAGCAAAACTGGGTGGCGCCAACACAAATCATGGGCCCCCCCCCGAAAAAAGAGAGCAGGGTTTCCAGTTGGTTTCAGGAAACCTCACTTCCCGAGTGGATGGCCCAAGTCCGAACTTTTATTTGCCTGGCTTGGACTGGACCTAGAGCTGCCTGGCTCTGACTTCGTTGAGAGTGGGTTGGTTTATGGGGAGCTTTTGGCCGAGAGATCTGAATGAGGGCGGGCTTGGGTTTGTTTGACATCGGCATAGGCTCGGCAAAGGGATGATCTCCTCGGTGTTTGGGGTTGACTTTGGCTGGGCTTTGGTTGGCTGGTTTGTGCTAGGTGTGTGGCTGGTTTAGCAGCGGCTTTGGGATTGCTTTGGCTAGGGTGTGGGCCAACGTCAACACATGAGCCACCGTGGGAATACGGGGATATGGACAAATTCGTAGACCCCAACGGGTGCCTTACGAGCTTCACGAGCCGAAGCAATGGAAAGCCGAGCTGCTGGTGAAGAGATTCGGTGGAGTTGGCACCCCACAGTCTTGCAGCACCTGACAGGTCTCTCCAGAAAGCTTTCACTGCGCCGGGGTTAACATATGGAGCGCAACTGGCTGTGGCTCAAAAAACCGGTACCAAAATGGAACCCTGGTAAGTGGAAACATGGACGAAAACCTGCGTAATTGTTTGCAGAGCATGCGGCTGACACTTGCCAAAGGAATTGGACCCCAGGAATGGGCGGTGTCCTTGCGTGGTTCAGTTTGAACCACCACAAAGCTGACCCTCCCTTGCTTTGCATTCCGTGGATGGCCTTGGCCAGAGCCCGCTTCTCAAAACGCAACGCAAGAGCGCGAAGTGGGCTCAGACCCACAGCTTAGAATAGTTTGGAGTGGTTCAGCTGTCTGTAACTCGAGACGGGCCCCTTTTGTTGTCTCACTTCGTGAGTGGGAAAACGGTTTTGCTGCTTTCAGCCGACTCTGAACAGGGTTGCTCTTCCCGGAGCAAAAGGTCTGGTTTGATGGAAAAACACATTTGACTGCTCAAGGTCTACGGGGCCACTCGGTCACACCAAAGACAAGTCAGGAAACGTAAACCCCCCCCCCCCACGTGCACGTTATCATGCAAACTGCCACTCCCAACCCGTTGGGACATTGAGAGTCCGTTGAACTAGACCCGCGGCCCTGTCGTTTATCTGGAGATTGGACCAGGAAGGCCTCCCCACAAGACCAGGGTCTAAGTTGGAAACTGAGAGACTCCCTCCTGTTAGACTTCCATTTGGTTAAGACCCACAGAAAAAAACAAAATATTTCCAGTAGTGATAAATTCCTTTTTCAACCAACATAGGAAAATAAAACAATATTATTAAGCAAATGGAAGTAGACATTCCTTTGGAAGCCACCGGAGCGGCCAAGCGTTTTCCGGATCCCGTCCTGCTGCAGCTCCTTCATGACGGGCAGCCGCAGCGCCGGGCCGAAGGCGGCGCCGTAGCAGCTCAGCACCTGGGCTGTGGAGGTGTTCCTAGGGTTGGTTCGCCCCGCGCGACACCAACGCGGGGGAAACCCCAAAGCCAAGCCACCCAAGCTGGAAACCTCGGAAGAGGTCGGAGAAAATCAAGACATAAGCTTCAAGTGGCACAGTGGCAGAAGCCGGGGTCCGGAAAAACCTTCCGAAAGATGGGGCGACTGGGATTAGCTGGCTGAACGGGTTGCAAAACCAGAGACTCCAGTTTCTTGCCCCCTCCGAGAAAAAAAAAAACAAGTAGCCTCCAAGTATTGCTGAGTGCTGGTTTAGAGGTTGAGGAGCAAGAGCCATGGCAGCTGTGAACTTGAGGTTCGCGCTGTGGCCGCGGCTGGTTGTGCGTCAGCAGCGAAAAAGAACATCTTAAGAACATTCACTCCTCGGAGAACTTGCGAACATGCAAACAGTGCCGGCCCCCATGTTCGCCACAATTGAAACACCCAACCAGGATGGTACCGAAAATTGCCGCAGTGGCGGCGCGGAACCCGATGGTGACGGCTTGAGCCCTGTGAAAGGGATCCTCCCAGCACATGGGTCATGTGTTCTGTTGCTGGGGGCACGCGTGACCCGGTGGTCCTTCTTTGAGGCACTGGTAGGAAGATTGCACGGAAAACAGATCTTGATACCATCAACACACACCTAAGGCAACCCGACATATCATCTTGAGAAACTAAAACCGCCACAAGGGGCGTGTCAAAATAAGGATTCGGACACCCATCATGAGGGTGAAAACCGAAACACCAGAAGAGCCGACGGTGGTTTGGAGGTGTTCCGGGGGTGGTTTCCCCTTTACCCTGTACATGCAGGGCCCTGGCCCCAAACCACCAAGTAGGGGCTTGCCTGAAAATTAGGTCAAGAGGTGATGAAAAGCACCCCGTTGGGGGGAAATACAAGAACCCAGGTTTCTGGAAGCGATTCTGTCCTTGCATCCGCGTTCGGGCGTCGTGTGGCATGGGCAACAATTGGTGGGCAAATTGCAAGCACACCCCCGTCCTTTTCGACCCCTTCAACATGTTTTTGTGACCCCAACTGAAATGGTACATAATGTATGCAGGTACCAAACATGTTGGGTTGGGGAAACCGGGTCATCTTGAACCAAAACAGAACCCATGCACTTCCGCGCCGGGCCGACGGGACGCCAAGGCGCCGCGATGGTGAGAATGGCTCCCCACTGCGCAGGGGATTCTTCGGATTCCAGGATTTCGGGCACCAGCACCTGAGCGATTTGGCTAACGCCAGCAGATGGATGTGGAACGCAAACAATCGCCATCTAAGAAGTTTCGGGTTTTGGGGGACCCCGTTTTGAGTTTTTGGGTTGGGAAGTAGATATCCAAGGAAAATTGCTGGGTCCCCATGCTGGCAGGTAACCTTTTGGCTCAAGCCAAGGAAGCACGGAGGAGTATTGATCCGCGTGTGTGTTGCTTTGTTGAGTCTTTTTGAGAATACCTGATACCCTTTCACCTTGGGTTTAAATGACATCAAAAGGAACACCACCATTTTTTCGGGTCCCCAATTTTGACACATACCCTGCGCCTGGCATTCTCGACGGCGTGGTGCTGCAATCTCCTCAGCTGAAACTTTCTGGGCTGAAAGGATGCTGGGCTTTCGGACATGACCCCTTGCGGATGGTGAGACGGGGTCCGACTCCCAAGTGGCCCACATCGGCCGGAACGACGCTTGGCAGGAAAGTTGAAATCACACACTTATTTCAGCGAACTAAGTCCAGGAGAAGAAACAATAACGACAAACTCTGCTGCAAGTAGCTTACCACGCTTTGTTGTCAGGGTAAGGATTGGATTGATGAGTTTCAGACATAGGGCGGAATTTGGGTCAGTTTGGGCTTCTGCCTTAAGTTAGGTGTACATTCGGCTTGAGTCATGTGCATGTTTCTCATGTCCAAGTTTGATCTGAGGTTGTTTGCTTGCCTGCCTGCCTTCTTGCTTGCCCACCCGCCCGCCCGCTTTCTTGCTTTTCTTGCTTGCTCGCTTGGGTGGCAACAAGCACTGCAAGGACAAACCAAAGCAGGATAAAACCCTGGATCCAATACAGTATTGTCGCACCTTGCTATCCTTCACCAAGCTGAGATGGCGCAAAACAGAAGCAAGGCTCATGCGTGAGCTCGTTTGACCCTCGCTAACCTCAGAGCTTACCAGAAAGATCTGCCCAAGTGTCCAGCACCTGCTGCGCGCGCTCCAGCTGAAGCTGCAAGGATGTCTCGCTGCGGCCCAAGGTCTGACGCTGCTGCACCGTTGCCAAATGAGCTGCCTGACGTGACAGGGCCACCACCTCCAACACTTCTGCACCTGAGGCTCTCCATAGTCAATAGTCCACACTGGGCCTGTTTCCCTGCCTAAAAGGGACACCTTTGAAAACACAGGGCCAGCAATCACTTGTCTCTTGAAATTCAAAAGGATTCTCAAGGCCCAACTCGAATTGAGAAATCGGGCCCCTCACGCGGAAATCGGTGCTACTTGTTTGGTGTTCGTCTAAGAACCCGCCAGACCCGACAAACCTGCAGTCAAAAATGGGCTGTCCTTGGATCAAATCATTTCACAACGTCCTAAACAAACCCCCTCCGTTTTGGGCCATGTTTCAAGGGAATCCACAAGCAAGCCATGATGGGGCATCCCAAAAATGAATCCAGTGGATTTTACCAACCTCCCTTCCAAGAAAAAACCTGAACAACAATACGAACATATTGCAGTAGTGCTAGATTCCCCTTAAAACCAACAGGGCAAAACAAACAACATCTTCTTTTCAGAAAATGCACACTTCTCACAAAGGGGCTTTCCTATTGGCTTCCCTTCCAAACCCGGCCAAAAGGGGTAGATCCACCCAGGGACCTACGAGGGTGTTGGGACACCAGGTTCTTTCCGTTTTAGTTTGCCGTCCAAACCATCCAACAACATGTCTTGGTTGACGTTGGAAGGGGAGCAACAAAAATAAGTTTTAGCAGTTAAGTGGTTGGATATTTCAAGCACCAAACCACAAGAAGAAAAAATGTTTCAAATGTTTCCCAGCAACAACCATGGCCAACCCCTTGAAAATCTCCCAGCAAAAATGGGAAACATGTTTCCCAACAACAACCATGATGTCCCCAGTTTGGGGATATCGGTCAAACGGACGAGGCACCCGAACCAAATGGGTCCGCGCCTCCAGGTCTTCCAGCGCTCGCTCGGCGCGCCGGAGCTCCGCTTTGGCAGTGGCCAAGGAGGCGTTGACCTGTCGCGTGGCTCAGGCCCGTAGCCAAGGGGTTGCCATGGAGCTGTTCATTTTTTTCCTCTTGTATTTTTTTCTCCGAATCTTACCCAGTGGCTAGTTCCTTCTTTGGATGTGTGCTCAATTTTTGGAGGATATTTCCGGAAACTTACCCTGTTGTAGCTAGCTCTTTGTGGGAGGATGCCCTTTTCAAGTTTAGCCAAGAAAATCAAGATTTGAAGGGTGCCCCTTTGACACATAACCATTCAAGCGAGTAGGTGTATCGATTGCAAAACGGGTGCAAGCACTTGGGTGAAACCGAGTGCGCCATGAGATTTCAAAGGAAGCCAAAGGGAGAGCCTGTGTTTTGAACGCAAAAATCGCTATCAAAACACCCGCGCTCGATTGTGACACATTGTAAATGAAATCCACGCATGAAGGGCGCCATGAAGTGACACTAAAACGCCGCACAATAGTAACATGCGCTTGGGTCATGGATATCGTTTTTGACAATCGCGATCAGGAGTCCGTTGCTATGGGGAACATGGCACACATGAACAGTTTTGACCATAGGCATGTGTGGCACCATCAACACACGTTTGATTGTTGATCAAGGGTTTTTGGTAGGCCCATACTGCCAGGATCTGATTGCAACTGCCAGTTGCCATGGTTTCGTTACTAGGAACCCTTGAACTCCTTGGCTGCTTAACAGGCAAAACCAGGTCCACTCCCGTAACATGTGAGGATCCGCGGCCAAAAGGGCCCCTCTAATATCTCTTTGGAGAGTGGAGCTCTTGCCGCATCCGGCAACCAGCACCTTCCAAGGGTCCCTTTTGTCATCAGTGGCCTTGTCTCATTTGGAGCATCAGCCAGGCCTGAAGCTTCCAACCGCCTCCTTCTCTGGTTCAAACTCCCAAAAGAGATCTGATCGATCGAACTCCCAAAAAGAAGGCCGACTGTTGATCCATTCCCGGATGCCCTGGGTCGTTTCAGAGGAAGAGCCACACCAAAGGCGCCCCCCTCACCCACCCCTTGTCAGAACTTTCAGGGTGACCCCATGGGTCCCGGATGTCTCCGGGTCTCATCTTGCACCTCCACAAGTTGCGAGGAGAGATCCCCCATGCTCTGGCGCTCGTCTTCCATCCGCATTAAGACCCGGTGGCCTCGACGACTCAAGCGATCGATGCGAGTTCTTGGGGCATTGGCCAGGACCAGGCGGACCAGGTGAAGCTATTGGTGCGACTAACAAAGGGACCGCATGAAACCAAAAGGTGAAAAGGTCGATTTGCTTTGGGCAAGTGAGGGGACTGAACATTTGGGTGTGTGCTTTTCGGTTGGACCCCTCCACACTGGCGGCTTCCTTTTGAACTCCTCAGCAATTGGAGTCCTTTTGGATGCCACACGTATAGTCCTTCGGTGAAACCCCAATAAAAAGCACCCGCTGAGGCCTTGACTGTTTTGATCCAAAGGGTCTTTCTGAGAGTCCAGCAGGTTGCATGTGGCATTGTTGCCTTACACCATCCAAAGGCGAGCCTCCTTTAAACGATGGCTTCAACTTGAATTGCTTTGCAACACCCTCACAACGCATCTCAAGACACCTTTCTTAAATATGGTGGTCTTTGAAAGGAGTCTTGCGCACCAGAAAAGGATTTCTTGGAATGGATCTAAACACCAAGAAATCATGTGGAGGCCTCCTAAGAAGTATGTCAACGTGGTCGTTTCCTTTTCCCCTGTAAACCAACCCAGGACCGGAAAGGGTACCCTCAGAAAAACACACACACACACACACAATTGTCATTCCAGATTGTATCTAACCCCCACCCCACCACCCCCCACCCCCCAGGGCCGAACCAACCTTCCGCTGAGGTCCCCGCAGGCCAGGCGCGCTCGCAGCCACTGCGAGATGCGCGCCGCTGCCGGGCTCATCGCCCAAAGCTGGGAGGCCTCGCCTCAGCGACTCGAAGGCTCGCCGTTTTTCGGTTGCATGGCTCGGCCGTTTCCTTTTTGAGGTGGTACCGTCTTTCTGTTCCCTTTTTGTTTCTTCCCCTTTTGAGGGGTTTCTTCTTTGGCACAAATGATTCTGCAGTTTCATTTTCGAGTTGCGACCTGGAAACCAAAAGGAGAGACAAAGAGACAACATTTTTGGGATATGTTTGGGGGTAGGCAAAAAAAGACACACCCATATTTAAGGGTACACACACATACAAACCATGAACGGTGATTCTAGGGACACGAATGATCTGGTTCTGTTTGAGAAAACATGTCCCTAAAGTCAGTCGTTTTGGAGGGATAGAGATCTTAAGGGATTGACCTTTTGGTGGACGTCATTTACATGGGGATGTCCAGCGCTGCATGCCATATTTACCCACATTTACCTTCCACATGGGACAAATGTTGGTATAGATTGCATGGATTGTGTGGGAACGGATGTTGCTCAAAGGCGTCTCAAGATTCTGTTCGTTTCCTTTGGCTTCCCTTTCAATAGTGAAAGAGCGGTTCCGAAAATTTTGCACAGCCCATTGGATTCCTTTGGATGCTTGGTGCTTGCTGAATCACTTGCTGGCACAAGAAAGAGCCAGAAGGGGATTAAAGGAATCACAAGGATGGCTCATGGGGAATGCCACTCAGAGCGAGCAAGTCTTTCAAACTAGTGGGTAGGCATCAACTGCGGAAGAGAGAGTTGTGTTTCCTTCGACCCCACTTGTTGCAGCTGGAAAAGTTGTGCAGCGGGCTACGGATGTGAGGTGCATCTGGGTTGTTCAAGATGGGAGGGATCGCCCATTACTGAATCTGCACTCTGCAGTGACCATTACAACAAAGGAACATCACATCGGTCACAGAAATCGCATCAGTGTGAAACCCTACAATTTTCCCAATATATTTGTACCCACTTGGCAACATGGCCCCGTCTTTGTTTGAATCGTGACAAATTTGGGTGTCTTGTTGTGCAACATTTTGTTGAAGAAATCCGGTTGGGAGACAATCCTTGGGAGTAGTTTCAAGCGAAACCCCAGTAGCACCAACAGTTCATCGTGGGAGTTCCATATCCTAGCCATCCTATTGGAGACTGACCCAAGTAGACGTGCGATGGAACAAGCAGGTGTGTCTTAATATTGTCTCCAGTTTTGGTTAGAAGCCCTTTGATACCACGATTCGACACATCCTTTCCTATCACCACATGGGCATGTCTTATGTGGCCATTTTAGTTTCAGCCCTGCTTCGTCTGAAGCGTCATCGGCTCCCTTTAGCCCGGTGATGGAAAAAGGGCACTGTTTTTTGGTCGACTCCTGTGCGGAACCCACCGTGAACAAAAAGGGCTGTAATGTTCACCCCGGATTAATAAACCCCTGTCTATTAATAAGGGGGTGTTCCCCTCCAAAAGTGACAAATCCCCACTAAAACCGGGGATACACCCATATTAATAAAACTGGGGTTTATTTATCTGGGGTCAACAGTAGAGGGTACCGTAAGAATAAGCACGAATTTGCAGCCTGGATTCAATCCGGACACGCCAGGAACTTCTCAAGAACCTCCGCTAGCCAGCCTGGCAAAGCGAACGCCCACCCACCAAGCAATCAAAGGCACACGATACCAAGTAAATTGCCAATATCAGTACATTTTGCATCATCATGACTGACACATTCTGGGAAAGGGTTAAACAACAAAGCTGCAAACATAAGTGTGCGTGTATGTCTCTGTGTCTGCGTGTCTGCGCACATGCGTGTATGCGCGAGTGAGTGCGTGCATGCGTGCGCATTCAACCAGCGGCTCTTCCTCACCACCCAAGGTTCAATCTAATTTACTCTTGCTACCACATCAGGGTTCTCTCTCTCTCTCTATACCATGAGGGCGTTCAACATCGCCACGTCCAAAACCGCATTCAATTCATAGTAGGCCCAGAATGAATGCCAGCCCACGAAAACGGGGGAAGCGCGGCAAGCCCATTAAAAAACCCTGGAAAAAAAGGGAACCCTTTCTACAAAAATACCATGTTTAGTCTAGGCTGTGGCTCAAAAAAGTGGTACCAAAACTGCACCTTGGTATATGGAACCAAAGACTAAAACCCGCGTAACCCCAGCTCTTTAATTTTGAGCCACACCCTAGTGGGGCAGCCACCAAAAAAAAACGGGAGTTCAACTGAGACAAGCCATAGGTGCGCCTGGCAAGGCTTGCCCAGCCGCAGCCGCACTGAGAGTGTCCAGCGTCTCGGCAGCAGCGAGTGTCTTCGCCCAGTCGAACATCCTCGGACTCGTTTTGGCACCGGCCGAATCCTGAATCCGTTTTGGGCCAACATGAGCAATGTGTGGCGAGAAAATCAGAAAGCCAAACTTTGACGGCGTTTGCCCAAAAAGCGAACGAGAAGAAGCTTCCGCGTGAGATCTGATTGGCTGTCGTGCTCATTAGGCCCGATCACCCAAGGAGTTCGACAGCGTCTCTACTTTCAAGGAAAACACACACATGTAAATTTGGGAACCCTCCTTCTCCAAGGGAACTTGAGTCGACTTCCAGCCAAATAAATCAACCACCTCTCCCAGCTTTCGCCGGCAAATACTCACTTCCTGAGTTGATGGGCCAAAAAAAGTTCAAACTTTCTGTTTACCACTAAAATGGTCTTCGCAAAAGTTTAAAGTCCAGGAACTCAGGGAGTGAGAATACCGTCAACAGCGAACGAGTGATGCCTGGCTCGAAAAGCGACACTTCGTAGTTCAATTCGCAAGACACTTAAATGCCGTCGAATGACTCCGAAAACTCCACGTTGGAAGCCGCGACATCTACGATTGCAACGGAACATCTTGAACAACTACACACGAGTCTGCTTCCGGCACCTTACATAGTCTCTTTCAAACCTTGCCATCCTGGGTAGACTGCGAGGGAGCAGGAGGGCGCAGGGCCGAGCTCACCTTCGCGCAAAGAGAACTATATGTATATGTATATATGCATGTGTGTATATATATATATATGTATATATATATATATGTATATATATATATATATCCCTGCGATCAACATCTGCCTAGCGCTGCCCTGCAATGCACATGAACTGAAGAACATACATGCGTAGGGGGGTTCGTTCATTCTTGTTAGGGACACGTATTCGCCCTTGCTTCCGAAGCTCGAAACACCTACTTGACTCACCAGTAGCCATAGATAGAGAAGGGCCCCTTTCGGTGCTTTGGAGGAACGCCCCAAAGAGGAACCGGTGCCAAGCGTCTCGGCGCGACTGGGTGGCTTTGACTCCTGAATGCACGCCTTCCAACTGGGGAAGGTGGAGGATTCCGTTTACCCATAGTCGCACCCATGGTTTGAAGGTCGCAATTGGAGGGCACACAGGGCCACACATGTCGAAAGAAGATGACCATCACAAAGAAGTTTGGCTTCCTCTCGGGCTAAAACCATCCTAAGCGGACGGGAAGAACCCTGATCGCAACTGGGGGGATTGCATGCTATGCATATGCAGAGTAGTCAGGAAAGAACCTTCACTCAGCGCCCGCACAAAGGGCTTCCATGTCTTCGGACTGTCTGGCATGCATCTTCACGGGGCAACGTTCATCCTCGCACTCGGTAACACTTATTTCGCCAGGGACCCACATGATCAACTGGTATGCTTCATCGCCGGCCCGGCCTAAAACTAATGCATTACTTTGGGTCCGGCTAAGTCAATATCAGAAGACCTAAAATGCTCGGCAAACGGACTGCAGCGAGCAACTTGCGGCATCGGGGCGCCTGAGACGGCTCCAGCACTACTGGCCTCATTCTTTTACCATGGTCAAAGTCACCCCCCTAAGTGGTGGGTTAAAGGGAAACAACCCCATTTCTGACTTTAACCCCCCCCCAAAAAAAAACCGTCAAAATAATGTTTCTGACTTTGAACCCCCCCCCCCCCAAAAAAAAAAAACACGTCAAAATAATGACCCCTGGAATCATTCGACCCTTGAAAGGTCTCAAGTTGAAAGGCCTCGGGGAGATTGTCTGGAGGATCTGGGGGCCAGGGACTCCGATGGAAGCGTCTCGGGCCCTCCTAGCTTCTCTCTGCCTCCCTATCTCACGGTGCGGACGCTTGATACGTTGCAACCACCTTCTTGCATTGGTATTTGACACAAAGGGTCCAAGTGCCTCCTGTGGATGGCTTAGGGGAGCCGTAGTAGTGTCTCTTTGGCAACCGGAAGGCTCAGGCGCGCAACCAAGAAACCCTGTAGGCTTTCAGTGTGCGACTCCAGGCGTGAAGGCGACTTGAAATTGGACCCTCCAACAAACTGGCGCCACGGTTCTCCTTTTTGTTCTCCCTTTTTCTCCCATTTGCTGAAGCCCCCTGGAACAAATAAACACATTTCCAGTCTGCAATCGATTCCCCTCTAAAGCCACGAAGGGAAAATCTGCAAATGTAAGTGTTGACCCCGAACACCAGATCCCAACTCGGAAAAAAAAATTCTGACCGCGGGCGCTCCTGGGGTATGCCGATTGGCCCGGCCGCCGCCGCGGTGGCCGCGGCCAAGGCGTGCTTCGGCACGGCGCGGGTTAAGACCGGCGCCTGAGTTGATGTGGTGATCGTGTGGCTTAACCCGTGGCATGGTAGCCAGAGACACATACTTGCTGGTCTTTTTGCAGCCCCCCCAAACCGAAAAATGAGCAGATCCAACAACAAACAAAAACATGATGAGAGTTAGGCCCAGTTATAAAAAGTATACTTTATTCTTTGCTTCACTTTCAGTCACTGGTAAACTGTGGAATGTGTCCTAAGTCTTCCCCAGGAAAACCTAAACACTTGCCAGTGAAGGTTCTCAGTATCGGGCCTGATGGATCAAACAGAAAAGGGAAGGCAACTACAGCTCTGTTTTTTGGGTGTGGTATTGAAACAAACCAAGAAAAGGACAAATCCCCAGAACACCAACTAAGTCAAGGCTTACCTGATGAAACAGACCTACCCAAGAAACCAAGAACAACTGACACCAACGAGAGCGAGGGATCTGCTAAACAAGCGATCTACAATCATCTAAGGAGGATCAGGAAGAACTCCAAAGAACATCAATCAGCTAGTGCGTCCTCCTAGTTGAAGACAATGATACTGTGGATGGAAAAAAAACCTGCACTCGCTTCCCGAGTGGGCCAAACAGAAGTAACCAAACTTTTTGTTCTCCACCAAAGTGGTCTTCCTAAAAAGCTTAAAGTCCAGGAACTAAGGGAGTGAGTGCATCAGTTGGCAGGTGGTGTGTCCCAGTATTCACAGGCTTTCATCCAAAGTGGTGCCTGACGCGGATTTCGTACAGGGCTCCCAGCCCTGTGACAAGCTCGCAAACGCAAACATTGGGCCTTGAGGGTTGAGGCCAAAACCCTTGAAGGCTTGCACGTTTTATGAGGCCTTGGAAACTCGTTTGCAAGCCATGGGTTCAGCCTCAACATCAATATGACGTCAGAGCTGCCCGTGGAACATCTGCTGGTGCTATGTTTATGCTTTTTGTACCCAGGTGCACATGTTTTTTGCGCAAACTATACCGGCGAGCAAAAAAATCTAGCCTGCGGAAGCACAAAGGCTTGAGACTTCTCACCAAGCTCCATGCGAGGTAGGACATGACCCCACTTTCTGACCAGGGGTCCTCACCTTTGACCCCGACCGGAGGACTCAGGGGCGCCAAGTCTGCCAAGCCACGCCGTCGGAAGGCTCCTGAGCTGTGGCATGAACAACAGCCGGGCACATTGCATTGGGTTCTTTCCATATTTTCTTGCGAGTGCCTGCAGGGAGACCCCCAAAAAAAGATGGTACTGGGTGGACCAAATATTTATCCATATCAAAAGGGCAAACCGCACTGCAGTATGAATGTGTGTCATCCTGCCTCAATGTGCAGGAGCATGGCTTTGGCTGCCCCCAGCACTCGCACCAGAGCTGCCGGCATGTGCCGATACTGTGCCAGGTTCTGGAAATGGCACCTCGCGCAGGTCTCCCCATCTCTCGCAATCACGGCAACCCACGAAGATTTCACACCACGACTTTCGGGTCTCGCCATTGATCGGGGGGAGCCCACCAAAGGAAGAAGGGTACTGAACACAACTGCGGCATGGCCATTTCTGTTTTGGGGAGGTTTTGAAGGGAAACCCAAAGGGAAACCATTGGGGGTCCCCACTAAAAAAGACAGTCCCAGAGAGTAATCCTGTGATCCTGGAAAGCCGCGCGCCCTCTCGAGGCTGATTCCCACATTGCCATTCTAAGCCGCACGCCAGAGGCTTGGAACACCCCCTCAAAAAGGCTTCCAAGGGATTTGCGGTCCAACACCTTCCAAAAGGGAAACATGCAGTTGGGCAACCGGGACTATTGATGTTTGGCTTTCACGTTCTGCAACCAGGACCCCAATGAAGGAACCCATCTGTCCGAACGAAGACGTGCGGAAGTTCACTGCTGAATTTTCATCAGCGTGCCTGGACCAGTTCACTGAAAAACCATGAAATCAGCATCGCGGAGATTCAATTTCCCATAGGTCAGCAAGAGTCCGACCTAAGGCCGACGGGGATGTTTCGCCAACTGGCGCTAGTTCTTTTGCTTCAAAACTATAAAACGCCAGAAAGGAATCAAATCAGCCACGATCCCCAATTGTTTCTTTTTTGTCCAAGTAGGAGTTCCCATCCCCCCCCACCTGACTATTTGGACTGGTTGGTGGGTTGGTTGATTCCTGTTTATTTTCCAAAACCGACTTCCTTAAATTTTGTATAAACACCCAATGCCTGGATTAGGTCTTTGGATCCCCGAACATAGTGGTCAGGCTCACAGACTCAAGTGCCGTCTTAAACTAGGGGGCACCCCGCGAAAGATGGCCGAGTGCCCTTTGCTTCTTCTTTGAAGCAACCCCAAAAAGGGCACCCCCAAAATCGGGCAACCTCATTTTTTCCGACCAAAACCCAGCCACAAAAACCCACTGCTCGAAGCCCAGCGCCTGTCCAGCTGCTTCAGCTGCCTCAAGGAGCTGCAGGCGGCGTTCAGCGCGCGCTCCAGCTCAGCGCCGTACCTCGAGACGACGACAACCCATCGATCTAGGGGTTGATTCCTTTTCCATTCTTTTCAGCCATTGTTCATGTCAAAATCAGCCATTTCCACAGGGTTTTTGGTGGTTTTCTAGAAATTAGAAAGAATGGGGAAGTTACCCCTAGAATCGAGGTCGCCCTACCCTTGGATGAAACGCAAAGCACTCCTCCACCCAACGGCCTCTTTCTCCCGTGTCCCAACTCCCGCGCGATGCTAGTGTTGATTGTTTTTTTACCCAAAGCATTTTTCTCCGGAAACAAACATCTCTGCAAGAACCAGGGGCCCCAATTCCAAACCACCAATTCAAGCAAGCCACCAATTCAGGGTTACTTGACAATGAGACGCACCGCTTCAAGGTGGTGCGCATTCTCCGGACTCAGCTTACAGTTTGGGCGAGCAATCTTGTCCCGAGCTCCGGCACAACAAAGTCTCTAGACCTCACTTAAAGTTCTGGTTTAACCCAACATTTTCTCATTTTCTCTACACCTCACCTAAAAATTATACGTGTTGCAACCACATAGCACCATGTCTCCCCGAGTGAAGCAACACAACACCTGCTATCGGCACGGAGTGAAACGCCAGAGGAGTTGGCTTCGGGTCACTTGGCGTCCACCGCCGCGATGTGGGACTCCACCACTTTCTTCCGGCCTTTCACCTTGGCCATGGACGACTCGACTGCCCATTGGCCATGGAGTGGACACCCAACCGACTCCAAGTAACTGACGCAAAGTAACTCAAACATCTTCTAGGTCCTCCAGTAGAGAGGTTAGAGTCAGGGTGCCCTTTTTGCTGTAGTCTATTTTAGTAGGGTTGAACCCTCCCAACCAAAAAAGAAACGGTGAGAAAGGGCACGATCCTTTGAGACCCAGCCTTTCAGGACATGAAGAAAGCGGTTGGGAGCTGGCCAATGACTTCTGGCCAATGGGTCCCAACTGCAAACTCATCTGGTAAGGAAGCCGAAGGAACCGCCAAACACTTCATACCTCCACAGGTAAGAGACTCAGCATCACTTTCGCCAAGTCAGGTCTGCTTCGGCCCTCGTGGCCAACTCAAAGTAATTCAACCACCTTTCAGGACATGCGAATACTTGCACTTTGAAAAACCAATACTGTCCCAGTTAGTATTCGTAGACTTCTTTTATGGCAAAGTCCTTTTCAAAAATGCACTTTGAATACTAAAGAAGTCTCGACTAACCGAATACTGTCCCAGCGTTGGGACAGTATTGGTTTAGGAATTTGCAATTCAAGAAGTCTGGGAATACTAGCCCAATACTGTCCCAACGTTGGGACAGTATTGGTTTAGTATTCAAAGTGCATTTTTTGAGATGGAATTTGCAATTAAAGAAGTCTACGAATACTAACCGAATACTGTCCCACCTCCTCCAAACAGCCGGGGCTGGGCTGGATTGCGGCACTTCGAACTGTAGAACAGGGGGCCTCTATTGCTCCGAAATGGGTGTCTTTGTTTGAGGCTACCCTTTTTTGGATGGGTGCGAAGGGAGACCAAAAGCAACCCCACCTATTCTCTTCATTTGGGTCCGTTAAACAACGACACTTCCGGCAATTTTGGTGGTTGTCCTTTTGATGTCCCCTTCAACCACCCGAACACGAATAGAACCCTCACACGAGAAAAACACACATATCCTGAAAAATCACCCAGAATCCTCGACCCTTCTTTTCTTCTCTTGAGGATCCAATCAAAGCCTGAGAGGAAACCACAAGTTGGATGGCTGTCCGGGTCATTCCCATCGAACCAGCAAGTGGGCTTGTCTGAAAAGTAATCGGGCACCCCAAACCTTGTGGCTTTGACTTGGCTTTCCCCAAAATCACCTCAAGAATCTCCGGAACGTGAACGCCTGCAACAAGCCCTCCCAGCAAACGAGGTACATTTCACAAACAAGAGAATACTTCAAACAACCACCTCAACTTTGTGCAAATCCTATTTTATTTGAATTTTTTTACTCTTTGCAACAAGTGATTCCAACAACCAAGGCTCCCCAACTCGCCACTCCCTTTTTTACTCTTGACAACAAGTGCATCCAAAAACCAAGGCTCCCCAAACAAAATTGCGAGGGCCCCAGTTTCCCTAGGTCCAGGAGAGAGGATAGAATAAGGGTACCAACTTTTTCCTGCAGTCTGCTGTAGTAGGGGAACCCAACACCCCCAAAAAGGGGTGAGAAAGGGCACTGCTGGGGGACCTAGCCACCATCCAGCTGAATCCCTGTGCAACTCTCCTCAGGGTTTTTGGTGGTTTTCTAGGAAAAAAACCCTGAAAAGAATGGGGAAGCTACCCCTAGAACATTTGCGACAAAGGCCCCGCTTTCCTGTCACCAACAACAACGAAAAAGAAAAACAACAGAACAAAACCACAGCAACCACTATCCAGTCAACCAAAAACCAAAACCAAAAAACTCACTTCCACAAAAACCAAACCACCAACCACACCAACCCACTCTCCACAAACTCAACCAAGGAAGACCCGCGCCGCGCAGTCGCGCAGTCGCCTCCTGAAGGCAGGCGCGGGCCGCGCTCCGCAGCTCCGTCTCCCGGGCGGTGCGGTCCAGGAGCCGCCGGGCCTCTTCCGCCAAGAGGCGCAGCGACCTCGCACGTCTTCCATTGGCTGAACTCTATATATATATATAAATATGTTTCTAAATACATATATATATACATATACATACATATATATACATACATATATATACATACATATATACACATTCTTTGTAAATAATATATATATATATATGCATATGTATTTATACGTATCTTAACACTAAAACGGTCATTCCCCTACTTCCATTTGCTCCAAGTCCCCTGGAAAATATGAATGCTTTCAGTAGTGATCATTTCCCTGTAAAACACAACTTGTGTGTTTTTGCGGTGGGGGGGGGGGTTGCTCAGCTTCCTTGAAGGTTGGCTTGGATCGGGTTTGGGACTTGAATTGGTTCTTGTAGAGGCCAAGGGGGAAATATGTTCATGGGACAAGGTGGGATTTCTATGTAATCTGCTTCCTTCGAAAAGGGCGCTTTGGAGCCGTTTGGGGGTTGTTTTCCTTCACCCTCTACAAGACACCAGGGTTAGGGGGGAGTTCAGCTTCCGCCAAGGCGGTTTGGATTGGTCCACCAATTACCAAATGGGGGATACCCGAGCGAGGACTTCCATGTGAGGCAACCATGTGGAACACGGAAAAACACGCCCACCATGTCTCTTTGTTTCCGCTACTATGACTTGATCGCTTCAAAGGTCGCCTTGGTACCATGGCTCTCCCAGCGCGAGATGGAGGCATCCGGGCACGTTTCAGAACTTGAGAAGGGCTACCACAAAAGCCACGAGTCTAAAAAGCCACTGCGTGTTTCAACATATACTCAGTTACTCCAAAAGAGCGGGTATTGTGGGTTGGCGTAAGCTGCCAAATGGCCCACACAAGATCACGCCATCAGGCTTTTCTGAGGTGTCATGCCACCACAAGTCACTAACTATACCCACAGCCCCCGAGGTTTGCCGTCACCCCCTAATCCACGCTTGTCCTGCCCATGCCCAGGTGACTCGAGTTCCTGCAGCACGTGGTTCAAGTATGGCACCCTTTACTAGTCAAGTAGCAGAACTCGTGCAGCCATATTTGACACGTGGTGACCTCCGTTCTCTTCAGAACGTAGGGCCGTAGTACCGCGAGGGCGTGGGTGGCAGGCAGGTTCAGGGTTTTAGGTTTAGGGTTTAGGTTTCGGTTTGGGGCTTTATGGTTTTTAGGGTTTAGGTTTAGGGCTTTACGGTTGTTGGGATTTAGGTTTAGGGTCTTTAGGGTTTAGGTTTTAGGTTTTTAGGGTTTAGGTTTAGGGTTTTTAGGTGTAGAATTTTTGGGGCTTAGGTTTAGGGTTTTTAGGGTTCAGGTTTAGGGTTTTTAGGGTTTAGGTTTAGGGTTTTTAGGTTTAGGGTTTTTAGGGCTTAGGTTTAGGGCTTTCAGTGTTTAGGTTTAGGGTTTTTAGGGTTAGGTTTAGGGTTGTTAAAGTTTAGGTTTGGTTTTTAGGGTTTAGGTTTAGGGTTTTTAGGCTTAGGTTTAGGGCTTTCAGTGTTTAGGTTTAGGGTTTTTAGGGTTAGGTTTAGGGTTTTTATGGTTTAGCTGCGCTTGGCTTTACGAATCGTGACAAAGTAACAGCAGTGGCAGCGCAGACAAAATGCTTCAGGCGGGTCGGAGCTTCGTGATCTCCGGGTCTTGGTGTTGGGGCGTTGGTTCCGGGCGCCGGCAAACCTCAGGGGCTGGCCGTAACTATAGTGTCCAAATTGGATATGACACCCCTTCACTGGTCTTCGACTTCCCGTTCGTTGCCTTTGAACAACATCGGCCCAAAGCCATGCCGGAATGGCGTCACACAAAGGCCGCCGAGGCTCCATGAGGCTACAACTTCTGGGGTCTAAAGGGGAAACCAACAGCAAAACAACCATACATTGGGTGTGTCTTTCTTTTCAGCCAAACCCATATGGCCATGGGTCAAAATCCAAATCGTACCCCCAGTGAACATCCCAATCCCCACTAAAATAGGTTCTAAAATGGGTGGTGCACCTACCCCGAAATGGTACCATTGGTTTTGACCCACAGCCATACGGGACTCTGGAGTGTGCCTCAAGGTTTCACCTTCAGACTGATGGTCGATATACTTCCCGCTCACACCTTGCGCTTCAGGGAAGCGACCTGAGCCTTTGGCCACAGGTCCCAAGGTGTGAAGACTTTGGTTGGGAGGGCCTTTGATTCAAAACACTTGGCGAATCGCCCTTGAAGGCTTGCTTGCTTCTCATGAAGCCAGGTCGACTCTCAGTATAGTCCAGTCCGCTCGATTTCCGTGGCAAATCCGCTCTCATTTAGGAGTCAATTGGATGAACCGAAGGCTTTGCCTGGCTGGGGGGGAGGCAACGATACCCCGAACTTTACAATCTCACGTACAAATGCACCTCATTAAACCCAACAGAGGTGGCCGGACAACATGTTCTCTGGATCTTGACCTCGCAGAAAGTGTTTTCGTGTTTTCGTGTTCTCCACAAGGTCAGCTTGCGCCCCTCGTCTTTCGTCAGCCCAGCAACCACTCTGCCAACTTCAGTGCTGAACTCGCCGAAGGGGACGCGCATGCACTAGTACAGCTGACCCAACTGACTCATCCCCTCCCGTGATAATTTTCACCCCCGTAACGAGAAACATGTGTTCTCAGGAACAAACCACACAATAACATTTGCCTGGTTTCAGTTGTCGTGCCAGAGATCAAACAAAGCTTACAGGATGCAACTTTTTAAGTGAGGAATGAAGTGGTGTGGAACCTGGCGGCCAAAAAGCAACCCCAAATACGGCTGGAGTTGGGGTCGGTAGGGGAAATCACTGGTCTAGCATCGGCTTCAAATTGGCAATTCTAAACTCAGTACTCCCAATACTGGATTCTTTTGACACATAATGTGTAATGTGGGGAAGGACGTATTTTTTGCGGGAATCCTCAAACACGGACCTTCATGGGGTGCTGCATTGGCGTGAACCCACACTTATTCGGAGGGTCTCAGTCTTCCAACAAAACACAGCCCAAGCACCCTGACTGCATTTCCCTCGCACAAAGAACAACACAAGCCATCGCCAGCTGGGTTAGTTGAACATAGGGGGACCTCAAGAGGTGGTTTAGTTTTCAATATTGTTTTACTAAGCCACTTCACATGATCAGAGTTAGGCCCAGTTATAGACATGTATATTTTATTGTTTGCTTCACTTTGAGTCACTGGTAAAATGGTAAAATGTATCCTAAGTATTCAGTTCAAAAAGGGCACCGTCCGGTTCCGGTTGAAACCAGTCCGACGCGTCCCATGGCGAAACCATCGCGCTGGGCTTCGGGCACGCGATTGGAGCGATACTTGGCCTCCACCTCCAAGACGAACTTGTCCAAAGCTTTGAGGCGGCTCAGCACCTTCGCTTCGCTGCTTCAATACTGTTGTTCTCGGTTTGTTTGTTTTTTTTTTGGGGGGGGGTTTGGGCTGTAGTCTATTTTAGGGGAACCCTCGCAACCAAAAAGTTGGTACAAAAGTTGGCACCTAGCTGGGGCACCTAGGAACCGGTTGCCACTGCTCTGCGAAAAGTGAATAACTTTTAGTGGTTTGATTCGGAAAGCCCAATAGTTGGCAAAAAGTTTTCAAGTCCTGACATCCAAGCAAAATGCACCAAAGTTTCAGATTGCTTCGCTGCTTTGCTCTTTACCAAAAAAACTGACCCCCAAAGCGGGGGAACACAAGATGAGGTGACCTGCTTCAAGTTCAACCCACGAACCCCCTCCCCAACTTGTGCCTCGGAGATAAGGAGATCCCTGTTGCTTTCAGCCAAGCATGAATGTTGAACGCCCAAACGGCCGCTGCCGTGCGGATTTCCGTTCACGCAGTTGTTTTGTGGATCCTCGCTCGGGGATGGGATTTGACGTACCATGATCTTCAACTAAGGTTCGTGTGTTTGTTGTACCTCTTTTGAGATTGTTTAACAAGGGAAACAAAACATGACGCCCGTTTTGGGGTGGAGACAAGCCCAAGAGTGATCTTCCAAACCGATCAAGTGTGCCCGACAACTTTCGTCCTCCACGTTGTCGGCCTGTGCAAGCGACCAAACGGATTCAAGTTACTTGCCGCGGATATGGCTTTCGGTTGGGTGGCCTTCCGCGTCTGTGGGAAGCTTGGGACTCAACCAGTCCTTTCTTTTAACCTCCAAGAGGCTGCCAATCATTTTGTCTGTTGCTCATTTGGAGGTTGCTGAAAGGCGGAGCCTTTAGGATGAAGCGCTCGTGAGCCCATTCTCTTAATTCCCCTCTTTTCCGGTAGTTTCAAGGAAACCACCCCCGCAAACGCAAAATCAAAAACATGAGCGAGTCCTTTAAGGGGCCCAGACAGGCATGTGGTTTTTTTGTTGCCGTCCAGCGGCGGACTCGTGCATCGTGCCGCGGTGGACTTGCAAAGTTCTGAAGTGCATCGCCAAGCGGGCCTCAGATGAGCTGGGGCTTTCCGCGGAAAAAGCTTGGGATCAACCTTTACCTCACTTGAGTGGCCAAAACCGAGTCCAAACCTTTTTGCCACCATGGTCCGAAGGTGCAATTCACTACCTCACTTTTTGAGAGGGGTCCTAAAAGAGCCCAAATCTTGTTGCCACAATGGTCCGAAGGTTTAACTCACTACCTCACTTTTTGAGAGGGGTCAAAAAAGAGCCCAAACCTTCTTGCCACCATGGTCCGAAGGTTTAACTCACTACCTCACTTTTTGAGAGGGGTCAAAAAAGAGTCCAAACCTTTCTGCCACCATGGTCCGAAGGTTAACTCACTACCTCACTTTTTGAGAGGGATCAAAAAAGAGTCCAAACCCTTTTGCCACCATGGTCCGAAGGTTTAACTCACTACCTCACTTTTTGAAAGGGGCCAAAAAAGAGTCCAAACCTTCTTGCCACCATGGTCCGAAGGTTTAACTCACTACCTCACCTTTTGAGAGGGGTCAAAAAAGAGTCCAAACCCTTTTGCCACCATGGTCCGAAGGCTTAATTCATTACCTCACTTTTGGAGAGGGGTCCTAAAAGAGTCCAAACCTTCTTGCCACCATGGTGCGGGGTGTGGTTCGGTGCCTCACTTTTTGAGAGGGATCAAAAAAGAGCCCAAACCTTCTTGCCACCATGGTCCGAAGGTTTAACTCACTACCTCACTTTTTGAGAGGGGTCGAAAAGAGTCCAAACCTTTCTTGCCACCATGGTCCGAAGGTTTAACTCACTACCTCACCTTTTGAGAGGGGTTTAAAAAGAGTCCAAACCTTTTTGCCTGGTCCGAAGGTTTAACTCACTACCTCACTTTTTGAGAGGGGTCAAAAAAGAGTCCAAACCTTTTTTGCCACCATGGTCCGAAGGTTTAACTCACTACCTCACCTTTTGAGAGGGGTCAAAGAAGAGCCCAAACCTTCTTGCCACCATGGTCCGAAGGTGCAATTCACTACCTCACTTTTTGAGAGGGGTCCTAAAAGAGCCCAAATCTTGTTGCCACAATGGTCCGAAGGTTTAACTCACTACCTCACTTTTTGAGAGGGGTCAAAAAAGAGCCCAAACCTTCTTGCCACCATGGTCCGAAGGTTTAACTCACTACCTCACTTTTTGAGAGGGGTCAAAAAAGAATCCAAACCTTTCTGCCACCATGGTCCGAAGGTTAACTCACTACCTCACTTTTTGAGAGGGATCAAAAAAGAGTCCAAACCCTTTTGCCACCATGGTCCGAAGGTTTAACTCACTACCTCACTTTTTGAAAGGGGCCAAAAAAGAGTCCAAACCTTCTTGCCACCATGGTCCGAAGGTTTAACTCGCTACCTCACCTTTTGAGAGGGGTCAAAGAAGAGTCCAAACCCTTTTGCCACCCTGGTCCGAAGGTTTAACTCACTACCTCACTTATTGAAATGGGCCAAAAAAGAGTCCAAACCTTTTGCCACCATGGTCCGAAGGTTTAACTCACTACCTCACTTTTTGAGAGGGGTCAAAAAAGAGTCCAAACCTTTCTGCCACCATGGTCCGAAGTTTTAACTCACTACCTCACTTTTCGAGAAGGGCCAAAAAAGAGTCCAAACCTTTTTGCCACCATGGTCCGAAGGTTCAACTCACTACCTCACTTTTTGAGAAGGGTCTAAAAAGAGTCCAAACCTTTCTGCCACCATGCTCCGAAGTTTTAACTCACTACCTCACTTTTTGAGAGGGGTCAAAAAAGAGCCCAAACCTTCTTGCCACCATGGTCCGAAGGTGTAACTCACTACCTCACTTTTCGAGAGGGGTCAAAAAAGAGTCCAAACCTTTTAGCCACCATGGTCCGGAGGTTTAACCGGACGGCGAGCTGGCGGTGGAGGAGGTGCCACCGGCCGTGAGCCCTGCCGCTTGCTTGCAGCAGCCGGCGCCCGAGAGTGTCCAGCAGGATCGCACGAAAGCGGCTTGTAGGCCTCCGGCACCTGCAAGCCTTGGAGCCTCTCCTTCGCGGCCAGCATCTCCATCTCCGTGTCAAACTCAAGAAAGGTCGAGCACATCACCGAACGCATGGCCGAGCCCTTGCGCACGATCTTCACGGAGAGCGGCAAGCCATCGGTCCTTCGCTGGTGGCTCAAGCAGCTACATAAGTTTCTTGGTTTTCTGCAAGTAGTTCAGACCAAGCAGATTTACCTTGCGAAGAAGCTTCGGCCCGGGTCGTGGCAAACCGCCAGTTGCCCACGTGCAAGCGAGTTGCCATGGCAACTCAAGATGAACCTCAAGCTGAACCTTTGTGTTGCTTTCCTGACATGTGCTTGTGGGTTGAGATTTGGTTTGGTTGAGAACTGCCTTTTGTTTTGTTGAGAGCCTCCTGCTGGCTTTCATAGGCCGTAGCATCATGTCCAAGCACATAGATATAACCACAACCATTGCCTTGACGGGCCATGCAGCGGCGGCAACACTATGAACACAGACCTCTCAAAAACCCTCATGAAAGCGCTTCATTCAACCTTGAGCAGAGATTGTGCGTCAAGCAATCGCTCTCAAGAATGTGGACTCGCAAGATCCCTTAGCATGTGTGTCCTTTAGGGGTCAACAAGCAGGCAGGCCTAGTACGGGGGACTTTCAACTCTCATCTCAAGGATATGGGCACACAAGAATGCGAAATCTTTCCAGCGACATGTAAATCAGCTCTCACGTAACCTCTCAAAAACTATGCAATCAGCTTCAAAACAGAGAACGGTGACACTCAAGCGTCAGCTCCTGTCCGCTTTGCCCTCACGCAATGGCACCAAACACTCACGCGTCAGCATATCTATTCTAATCCACATCCGGAATGTCCTGCACAGCGCGGCCAGCTTCGTGCTGCCAAAAAAGAGTTCAAACCTTTTTGCCACCATGGTCCGAAGGTTTAACTCACTGCCTCACTTTCCAAACCTTTCTGCCACCATGCTCCGAAGGTTTAACTCACTACCTCACTTTTTGAGAGGGGCCCAAAAAGAGTCCAAACCTTTTTGCCACCATGGTCCGAAGGTGTAACTCACTGCC